TTATTGAAATATATACAGGTGTCCCAGCAGCAATAAGCCACGAGAAAGATTCTCGGAGAACAGGAATGGATCAAAAGGACATAAAAAATAATTAATATAATTTTAATTAATTTTACTATTGACAATCCAAATGTATTTACTCTATTCTACAATTTGTATTCTCAATATAATGCCGAACAAAAGTAAGTCAGAGCATCAACTGAAGTCACTGCAACTGCAGTGCATCTGACCGGAAAGTCCTAGGGTTCGATTCTCGATTGTGGAAGGATTTTCGACACCAGCTTGTCAGCTAGGTTGAATTCAGCCGCTGACTGGATGACATTCTAGCGGCTGCCTGCTCTGATCGATAGTTTTCCGTGATTTCGCCTTTCAACGTCAGGCAAATGCCGGAGCAGTATCCTAACAAACGGGCCACGGAGCGCGCGAGATCTTTCGTGTCCTTGCCCTTGTCCTTATCTTCAACCCTTGCTTACACTTTCACGTACATACCCCACACTACACAGCATGTCGGGAGACTATTCGGGATCGAGGAATTGTCCCGGCTGTGGCGGTGCCACGCGGGTGGGAGATACCTGGTTGGGGAAAGTTCCTGTAAGCCGACGTAGGTCGGAGTCGGATCTCGCCCTCCAGCAGGGAACCTCCCGCGATAAAGTATCCACTATTAATTAGATCGCTGGTGAGGTAGATACCTTTTTATTATGATAAATAAATAAATAAAGATGTTGTCTGGTATCAATACTTTTTATTCAGCTTATGATCGTTTCGATCGCATAGCGACCATTTTTTAGCTAAAATTTGAAATACACATAATATTAACAGGAGTTTGTAGTTATCGTATGTAAGATGCGTAAGCAAACTGGGTCGTACATACCTTGCAGGATCTGGGCCGAAAACAAAGTTCTGCGAATTTTTGAGTGTGTGTCACAGCCTGTCGGCAGCGGGTGGGGGCGGGAAGGCGGTGGGATGCGGGTGAAGGGTCGTAAAACGCGGGGGTGCCGGGAGGCTTGAGAGGCGGTCGGGCGAGCGAAGGTCAGTGGAGAAGGGAGGGCTGGGGGTGGGTTAGGGGTGTACACTTTGTGCTAATTTTAGCAGAGGTGAAGAGAGTTTCAGGGATTTGTTGGTTAGACATGTCATGTTCTGTTTTTTGAGGACGTTGTGTATGTGTAGGGCTTCTAATTTTATTCTGTTCCAGTACTGTTTTCAATTTCTAGAATTCGGAAATTTGTGTGTTTACCAAATGTGTGTTTGTTTAAATTTAGGTGATCCGCAAAAGTGTGAGACTGTGGTAGTGTTGTTTTTCCATGCTCGTTCGTGTTCTTTGATTTCTCTTTGTGAATTTACGGCCTGTTTGTCCTATGTATATGGCATTGCAATTGTTGCAAGTGAGAGCATAGACTCCGCATAAGGATGTAGGTGGGATTGGGTCTTTAGTGTTGGATAGTGTTTTTATATAATGTATGAGTGTTGTTGAAAGAAGTTTTAAGACCGAATTTATTGAGTGTAGAGGCTATTTTAAGAGAAAGGGGTCCTAAAGTATCCGCTACTCTTACTGGTGTAATGGCCTTAGCAACTGAACTCGGTACCACTAATCTATCAAGCAGTATATGATGTACTTTCTTTCAACCAATCTGCAAACGTTAATTGAAATTACTCAAATCAGGTGATCTCTCTTAAAAATACAATTTAAAAGTAATATGGAAGAAATATTTAAAAAAAATTAAATACGATCATTTTGAAAGAACTTTTATTACGATCATTTGATGTAACCCTGTTCGGGTCGTTGCCGTACAATGCAGACAAAGGAGACTGAGAAATTATTCCGAGAATTTCATTGTGGGACGGCGACATGGAAGAAGACATGAGTTAAGGAGGCTTTATTTATTTCACATGAATGTTACAATAGGGAGTTTTAGCGCTAGGCGTAAGGAGATATTCTTAAACTCTGTTGATCACGTGACTAACGCTTTTATACGGTCGTAATGAACAACGTTAAGAAGAGTTTTAGCAATTGCGACATTGCGTTATGCATTATAACAAAGGAAGCATTTCAAGCGTTGAACCGAGAAATTGCATAATATATCAAAGAGTGTAGGCTAGTGGTAAAACATTTAAAACAAGTTACGAGTCAACAGAACAACATATTATATATATTTTGTGCATGGAGTTTTTAGTTTTTGTGACCCTCCGTGATGAGTACGCAGTCTGAAATTTTGAATCTACTTTTCTTGAAATTATAGGAATTATGAACGTTATGACTTCCAGGTCCGTCACGTGTCTGTTAGTGCATACACCAGGAGCAGCAATGGGTACAAAAAGAGCTGCTGTGCTAAGCTACCTTTCGCCTAAACGCCGCTACCTTTCGCGCGCTAAATCTCCCTATTGTATCTACGTTCAATAGAACGGTACTACATTAAAAAAAATTAAAGTGTGGGGAATATACTATATACTACATATAAGCGTAAGATGGACACTACATATTAGGGAGTTTTAGCGCCACGCGTAAGGTAGCGGCGTTATGCACTAACAGTCACGTGACGGACCTTGAAGTCATAACGTCTTATCTTAGGCCTAAGGTACGACCTTATACCTTCAAAAATAGTGCACGCCTGTGGAAGTCTCTACGGTCACCTTACAAGCGGCAAAATGGCCGTCTAAAAACAGGAAAAGTTGTTTTTATCCAACTCTAATAAACCGATTCTCGTATGTAAGGCAGTTACAATTATTCCTTACGAACTTCACAACGCTGGCAAAAATTAACGGGATATGTTGGAGAGGTGACAGGAAAGAAATTCGCGAAAAAGAAGTTCAAATCATATCTTCGGGATAGGTTATGCCTTATGCTCATAACGAACGCTGTTTTAAGGTATTTCCTATATTTTCAAGAAAAGCAGATTCAAAATCTAAAACTCCATGCACAATGTATTTGCTGTTCTGTTGACTCGTAACGTGTTTTAAATGTCTCCCCACTAGCCTACACTCTTTGATATATTATGCAATTTCTCTGTTCAATGCTTGAAATGCTTCCTTTGTTATAATGCATAACGCAATGTTGCAATTGTTAAAACTCTTCTGAATGTTGTTCATTACGACCGTATGAAGGCGTTAGTCACGTGAACAATAGAGTTTAAGAATATCTCCTTACGCCTGGCGCTAAAAGTCCCTAATGATGAAGTAGTTTCGTATGCATTCCTAAAGCGATATATTGGCCTTTAGTTTTGGATGTTCAATTTATATGAGAAATTATCCTTGCTCGTCTGTATAATGTGCTGCAAATAATGCGAGCAGTTACAAATAACACGAGAAAGTATGTGCTGTTGTAGCACATCTAGTTTATATTTAATTTGTTGGAATTTTATACGAGTGCAGTTTATTTTTGAGCCATGAGTGCTACTTTTTGTAAAACCATTTTATGTGGATTCGTTTAGTAGGATTTTTACTGGTGCAGGTCACTAGTAGTACATTGTGTTTCAAACAGCTTAATAAAGAGATATTTGCACACGGTAAAATACTAGCAGTAAATAATTTGCAATATATGCTCAGTAATATCTAAACCGAAATCGTTCGGGACACAAAAAATGCCAGTTTAGAGAGAGTTTCCGTTTTATACAAGGTTGTCCTTTTATGACGTGATATTGACGTTTCTTCCCTGAAAGTAGTAGACCTAAATTACATGACTTTTATAATTATCAAAATACATTAATATATAATGTGTAATTGGACGAAATCACCAATACATGCTCTTCAGCAGCTTCAAGCTCTCTATCAACAGCTTCTGAGTTGAAAAACGCATGCCTTACTGACTAAATTCGGACAGCCTGCTGACTCTTTCAATGCACAATGCGTCACATCCCAGTACTGACTTTCTGATACCCTCGAATGGTCTTGAGCAATGCGTTTCTGGTCGAGGGGTTATGATTTTCAATTGCGGGGCAGCGAGACGCGCGAGTAGAAGCCATGTCGATGCACCTTCCCACGTTCAGAGGCAACAGTCGACTGGGTTCGACTCCAGCACATTGAAACAAGCACTATTACTTCGATACGTTGCACACAAATAAAATTATTTTATTTCGAAAACTTCACTATCCTGGTATAAATGGCAATAATGAAAAGGCTTCGACACTCATGTGTATTCACAAGAACGCTCGCAAACTGCTAGCCGGCCAGCTGCAGGCGCACTAGGTTCTGCGAGACACTAAGGGACTTCCAGCCAGAACGCCCACCTTTACACAAAGAACTCATCAAATGTACGTTTTGAACCAACAAATCTAATATCGAATGACAACAAATTTTCCAAACATAATAAACAATGCATTGAATATCGTCAATAATTGATTGAACCTGTGTACTTTCAATAACAAGCGAAATTCATAATATTACATTGCAGCGAGTCAGACGACAATATTGGGATTCCCCAGAGACTCCCTCCGTCGCCGCGCAGCGCTAGACAGCTTCACTCGTCTGGTTGCGCCATTAAAATTCCCATGGTCCCTGTGTTAAACTCAAAGCCCAAAGAGTAATTGCAGTAAACCCAGTAATACATTCAAGAGCGTGGTGCAATTCATGACAAGACACCAGAGAGAGCGCAAGTAGGACGCTCTGTGGTTTCAAAATAATTTCATATACGTCGATATTGCTGCAATAGCTTGAGTATTGAATGTCATTAAAAGTAAAATGTATATTATTCCTAATATATTATCTTTTCCCATTATCTGGGGATTGTGCAACCTAACCACGACCCACCACTGACTAACCATCATTGTTCATAAACACGTCGATGACTGTATTAATCTGGTTGCATTAGGTACTGTCGATCTATAAATAACCGAAAATACAAAAATGGATCTTACTTATGGCGATTCCTTCATTTCTTTAACCTCTGGGAAAGAAGAAAATAAAAAGTGTTATAACTAAAATAAAGTTCTTAAGTTGTAGATGAGTAAGTAGGTACTATGAAATCTCAAATATTGACTGTGTTAACTGTAAGCATCTCTTTGTTTCAGTAAAATGGCAGCCGACCAATCAGAAGATGCAAAATGGAAGGAAGCAGCCAAATGTGAACAATTTCAAAACGCCGAAAACTTTAATAAAATGGATATTTGCAATCTTGAAATCTTGAAAACTAGATTAGCAATATGTCTCTTCGGGCTACCTGAGAATTTGGAAGACAAATGTAGCGAATGGGACAATTTGTCATACAAGCTATACAGCAAAAAGAACCAAAACGTGATTGAAAAGTTATCCGAGAGTATATTACATCATCAGAAGAGTTCCAAAAAAGATAAAATTTATTTAAGTTTTGTGGTAGTTTTCGGTAGAAAAAAAAAAGGAACTGAGAAAAATTTTATGGACTGGGTGTTCAAAGTCCCTGGAAAAGATGGGACTAACAAAATATTCATTGATAGAAACGGCAGGGTGTATCAAAATTGGCAAGATTATTTAACAAACAATACTCTTCCCAAAGCAACAATTTGTTACCCTGTCGACGGCAAATATCCAGAAAAGGGCGCTCCACATGTGGATTATGCTGATACACCATCATGTAGTGTTGCCAAGGACGTACTCTTCGGGTTTGATGTAGCAACATCTGTTACAACATTAGTGGGGTGTGGGCTGAGCACAGCAGCTCTTTTTGTACCCATTGCTGCTCCTATTGTATGGACGGCTTTCGCGGTTACTGCCGCTTCAGGTAGGTTATTTACTTTTAATAAACGACGTTAGAATGAATTTTATCCATCTGCTATGTGAGCCATCATGTTTCGATATTTTTTCGACAGAAACGGTTCTTACGTGAATTATAATTTTAATTCACTGGTGCTAATTTTGTCATCTACTGTTAACAAAATTTAAATGTGTCCCCCGTTTCAAAAGAACTTTTTGTAGGCTCACATGGCCAATTACTTTAAATAAAACCCCTTGGAATTGTTTAGTTTTTTCTTCAATTTTTGTGTTTCCAGTCTAATAGGAGAAACGGAATTCTTGCGACTTTCATTGAAAAGTAGTGTATTTTAAGAGGTGATTAAATTTATCGCTTTGAGAATTCTGACTTACGTATTCTTAATATCAAAAATAGGATATTATATACATTAATATTATTTTTAATATAATTTCAATTTCAAATTTATTTTTGTCACTTTGGTATTAAATTTGTATTCCCACCGAAATTCAGAAGTCGTACTTCTACATCGAAATTCTGGACAAATTTTGGAAAATATACCCTAATTTAACGATGGAAATTTCCAATAGTTTTTAGTTTTCTTTATTTTTTTTCTGGAGATAAGTTCTTTGAAAGAACATCTACTTCCATCCAAAACGGCAAAGAAAAGGAGGTACACGTATCCGCAAATACAAAAACACTAAGAGATTTGAGAAGCTGGTTTCCAAAAGGTACCATCTCCACTTTATATTTTTTCAGAGTAGAAAAAATGCATTGTTTTCATTTTCCTTTAACTACATGATTCTCTTATGCTTGATAATTAAGATTCTTTTCGCGAAATTTCTTTAATGTATGTAGTAGAAATCATTTTACATCGATTAAAATCTGTCTTCATGGTCATACAGTTCATTTTGGCTTTCACGAGGATTAAAGTATCTTTCGTTATAAAATGTTTATCTTTGGCAGAAAACTTGTAAGAGTACATGGACTTTTCAAATTTGATCTTCTTTACATTAAGTTCGTAATTAAATAATAATATGAAACTAGTGGTGCTACAAAATGGCACAGACTTTCTAGTACTAGATTGATTTCTAATTTCTTTAGTATGAGCTAGCTTTTCGGACTTACCACGTCCTCTCTAGCACTATCCGTACAAAAAATTTGCACAAAACATTAGGTACCCTTTTCGAGATAATGGCGTTTGAGGTTTCTCAAAATGCATAATTTCGAGTTCATTTTCACAGAAAAGTTTTGAGTCTTCGTGGAATTTTATAAGACATGTACATATAAATGCACTTATTCAAAATGCCGCGTTTCAATATTGTGATCTGATTGTGATTGTAGGAAGAAGCCGAAAGAATTCACACATTTGCAATTTCAGAAATTTCAGATTTCACAGAAAAAAGTAGATCTACGCCAACTTTAGAAGTGTATTTCACTCTATTCCTTCAAGAAATATAAAGAAAAAAGTTTGAATTATTTTAGAGAAAATTTCAAAAATGACCCAGGTTGTTTATATACCCCCAAAATAAATGAATGTTATTGAAAATCGCAGAGCTTCAAGTGAGGTGAGATCGATGATCAACGAAGACAGACGGACGGGACATATTGATAAAACCACTTTCTCGGTATCAGGGGACCCCAAAGCGTGAATTTCCGTTGAAATTTCGAAATCGATTTTCGGTAGAATTACATATCTTGCTCTATACTACGTGTATTATTATTATTATTATTATTATTATTATTATTATTATTATTATTATTATTATTACACTCGCGAATCGGCCATCATGGGGCGAGAAGATATGAGCATAGAAGGAAATCAGCATTTTAATGCCACGGAATTGTTAGCCCTGGGGAATGGGATGAAATTATTATGATAATTAGACATCGGATGTTAAGGCACTAAAAACTTACGTTTTAGGCGCCTTAAAAGGCACAAACTTTTTTAAAAGGCATTAAAAACTCAAAATTGGAGGGGAAGAAACAGGAATATATTTCATTGCACTTGCATCGAAATTAAGCCAATACCATAAAACAATATATCATGAGAGAATAGACTATTAATGAATCATTAGTGAGTGAGAGACTTTGACAACTTTACAGGATTGAGCGAGGTTACTACACTTAGAGGCACTGGTGAAGTACTTCACGCGGAGCACAACTCCGGCAACTGCGGGCAGAAAGAAGACGCCCGGTAGAGATAGGCGTACACTGCGCGCTTCCCAGAATACCATCTAGCACGGAATAATATCAATCAGAAGTGGGGATTATCGCCTTGCCCTCTGAGACACGAGTACTTTGATTACGTCGGCTCAGCACTCACGTACCGCTCACGCAAGTGCCCAGACACCACCGTTTTTTATTTTAATTTATCTGTGAAAAAAAATGCGGAAAAGGAAATCTGAAGCCGCAATGCAAGGTTTTCCGACCCAAAAATACAGTGACAGCTTCAGTCGAGACAAGCAATGGAGATTCGTTACCAGTAGAAAATTTAAGTGATTAGCAGAACTTTATGATTTAAACTTGTTTTAATTTTTTTATTATTATTTTTTTAGATCGCTGTGCAACTTCGTGGTCATATGATCACAATTTGATTTAAAATTTTACATTATAAGAAAATGTACTTTTTTATTACTTTTCATATCATTGTCTATTAACAATTTAAATCATTCAATATTAAATACAATTAATATTACAACCATTGATTAATGTTTAACAGTAAAAGAACTTGTGTTTCTAACCAAAAATAAAAACAAATAATATAAATTTTAATAAAAAAGCATTTTAAAAGAAAAAAATTTTTAAAAGGCATTTATGTCATAAAAGACCAAAAAACGGCAAATAAAAATTCGTTAGAATGTTTAGTTTTCCATAATTCATATACATGTATTAAATGCCTTTAAATATTTTCATTAGAATAAAACAGGCATTTTTATAAACATCCTATGACTAATCATGATGAACGATGATATAGACACACAAACATACAGAGACACAACATAACTATGCCCGATGCGGGACTCGAACCCTCGATTTTCAGGTCCGAGACCGCGAGGTATTTTAGCGATCTCGGCTATCGGATTGGCTTTATTATTATTATTATTATTATTATTATTATTATTATTATTATTATTATTATATTACGTGCCATCATACCTCTTTAACCTTCGGTTAAAACAAGCGTATTAATTAACTAGTTTGGCCAAAACTGCATGTACTTTCTCGCCCGTACTTTCCCACAAAATTAGGCGAAAAATACTCAATAATTGTACATGAATTATTTCACAATCTACCATTAAGGAACAGAAAGAAAATCTCTATATTTAATATTTTAGTTGTAAGAAGACTCCGAAAAAATTTAAAACTTTTGCAATTTTCGAAAAAACAGTTTTCAACGAGCATGCGACCTGTCATCATTCTCTTTAAACATTCTTTATACTATCCAACAGCAAAATTTAATCAAAAACAATTGAGTCTTATTTTTTTTACTTGTAATAGTCCAGGGGCTTCGTGTTAAGTACCCCCAAAATTTAAAAAATCGTTTTAAAATTCAAGGGACCGCGACAACCAGATCTATTGGGAAATATCAATTTGGAGAAAATCGGGGCTGGCGTTCAGATGGACAGATTTTTTTTCCCCCTTCGCCGTTCAATCCGGCAACGTTCGTCGAGGGGATCGAAACGCTCGTGTCCAAGTGACTGAATATTCATGTATATGTAGACCAGTAATTATGGTTGAACATTAGGTTTGTCAATAAATTATTTTTTCTTTTTGTCATATTTGTGGTCCGTTGGGGGGTTAAAAAACGGCTCTCATGATATTGAATTTAACAGAGCTCGATTCACTCAAGGCAATTGTGTCTATCTCGCTCGGGACCTTTTCAAATCAATGGTCCTACAACATTGCAAATAATTGTTCGTGTTTTTAACGGTTACAGTGCTTATATTTATACGAGTATTGCAACTTACACTATTAATTTCAACTATTTGTTGCAAAACTTCCACCCTACTGCTAGAATGATATCACACTATGTCTACTTTCTAAAATCTAATAATTACAAAATTAATCTAACCTACCATTTGTACATCAATCCGTTTATCAAATGTGCATGTATCTTGAGCAATATGTTACAATTTGCATGAAGTTTTAAAGAAATGTCCTAAGAGGCTTCATGTAAAATACTCCCAAAAATTAAAATATCCGATTAAATTAAATTTTGAATGACAAGATTATACGTTTTCTGTGATAATTATATACTATCTTCTTCAGTTAAAAATCAATATGTTTAAATACTTTTTATCTTTTGTGTACCTGGGAATGTTTAAAATATATTAAGAACTCGCTTCAATCTCAATTTAATTGTGAAGTTAATACATTGTGGTGTGTTGCTGCACAGTTCACGAGTACTTTTTAACATTTTTTAAAATTTATCTTTCCAGGAGCCTACGGTGCAGGAAGAAGTATTGAAACCCTTGTTGACAGGGGTAGACATGAAGAAACATTGAACCCGCTCAATTCTAATGCACGGTCCGCATGGCTTGGTGCCGTAAGTATGACCCAACCATATACTTGGTCATAGGGACTGTGTTTATAAATGTATATATTTACAAATCAGGCACTCTGTGTGTGTGTGAGCAATAGTGAGCGCGCATGCGTTCATGCGTGCATATATACAGTCATGAACAAAAGTATTCGCCCTGTAGTTATGCTAACTCAAACACGGATCGGAGAGCAGGTTCTGTTCATGTAAACACGATAGCATGGCACGAGAAGAAATAATAAATGTCGTGTGAGGTGTCGACGCACGTTATGTTCAGAAATAGCGAGTAACTATTCGTAAATCCCACAAACTACACTTGCGTCGCAGGAAATGCCTGGACAAAAGTATTCGTCCGCCTGTCGTTGGCGATAGTTTGCGGACTATTTCCGGGCAGACTTATCAGTGCGTGTGCCACAGTGCGGAAGTGAAGCAGTGATACGAAATGGAGAATGAAGGAAGGGAACGGAAACGTCCGTGGAAGAAAGAAGAATAATATTACGACTTCGCGAAGAAGGAAAAACATTCGCTGACATCGCAAACATTGTGGGAAGAAGTTGTTCCACAGTGAAAAGTATTGCACGGAGATTTCAGGGTCAAACCACGCTGACCAGCAAGTTTAGAAGCGGCCGCCCCCAGAAGTTATCTGCGAGAGAACAGAGAGGTACGTGGTATGGGACATGAAGTAACATCCAAAAACAACGTCGTCTGAAGTCACTACCGCAGTGAACAATAACTTCAATCAACAGATTTTGGCACGGACTGTCCGACGAGTTCTCAATCGTGCGGGATACCATGCGCGGGGACCCCGGAAGAATCCCTACATCAGCAAGCAAAACAGGGCAAAACGGTTTGCGAAAGAATACGTGGAGAAGGATGCCGACTTCTGGGCGGAGGTTTTATTTTCAGATGAATGTTAATTCAACATCCACGGCAATTATGGGAAAATGTGGGTGTGGCGAAAGCCAAATAACGGCACTGGATCTACAATATGTGCGAACCACAGTTAAGCACGGTGGGTGTAGTGTTATGGTTTGGGGCTGTATGTCGGCTGCAGGGGTGGGGGAATTGGTTTTAATAGAGGGAACTATGGACAGATTCAAGTACCTGCAAATACTACGCGACAATCTACAGAAAAGCGCAGACAAGCTAGGCATGGCACGTGACTTTTATTTCCAGCACGACAACTACCCCAAGCATACGGCGGAAGTTGTGCGTCTGTGGCTACTATACAATACGCCACACACTTTGTAAACACCCCCGCAGTCGCCGGACGTCAATCCTATTGAACATTTGTGGAATGAGTTGAAGAAAAGACTGCGCAAGCACCACATCACGAACACACAACAACTGAAAGAAGTCCTGCAGAAAGAATGGCAAAAGCTTGACACGAATGTGACACGCACATTGGTGCAATCCATGCTGAGACTTAAGCTATTGTACGCAGCAAGGGTATGCAAACAAAGTACTGAACAAATGTAATGTTTAATTTTATAACTTTACGGTTACATGGACGAATACTTATGTCCATAAACGAATGTCCCTCGTGTGTTATTTTATGCATTCTCTGAATGTCGGATAATATAATCTAGCTTTTTGTACTATCAGCGAGAGGTATTGATGTATTCTTCTCATTTCTGTTGCAATACCGTGTCCCTGATCCCCTGTTGACTGCAGGGCCCCCGCAAACTCTCCATCCAAACTGGGACAAAGCTCGAGGTTGCTACTATAGAAGCGCTAGTTCGTCCGGATGGCAGCTGCAGGTTTAACGCTGAACAACTTATCCGACATACAAAAATTTGCTATTGTTGATGAAATAACGAACAACTGTCTTTTATAATGTAACTTATCTATCTTCATAATCTTACTTATACGAAACCTCTGAAGAATGCTAAGCCGAAACGTTATAGACCGTTACTTTTTTGCAACATCTAATGGCCTTGCTCTTGCCGACCCGCTGAACTCAGCAACGCAGATCTCACTCAACAACGTCTTAAGTACCGTATGGCCCAGCAGTGTTCGATGCTTATAGCGACCTCATGTAAAGAGAAGTGATGCAGTGCAGAGCGCGCCACTGTAATCGTTCCCACCACGTTATTATGGAGTTATAGGTCCACCTCATGCGTTTACTGTGATACAGCCTAACTTTCTAACACCATTGCTCTGGACATTTCCACTTACTTGTCTTCTTAGGCACTGGATAGTATCACATCAGCTAGAGCGATGACAATCTACGGGCAACGCAAGTCTCAAAAACCCCACAACACCCATACTGCGTCGGCGAAGCAGAATAGATCACCGTGACACAGGCGCGCAGAATAATTTAGCACAGAAACAGCGCTCTTTGTTATATGCGGCCTGCGCGCGACGTGCGGCGTCTTCCAACTTACGGAAAACGCTGAAGGGTTCGCCGTGACGTCACGCCATCCCTTTAAATAGCGGAGCAGCTGACCGCTCAGCCCCTTTGATGTACAGTTTAAGTGTTTAAAGGGCAATTTGACCTTGTGTTATATTTATGTGTTATTTGCTATCTGGTCTTTGTATTTCGTTCAGTGCTGTTACATGTCATATTCTGGAGAGAATATACGCACTGTTTTACCTGATTCTGTGTCTTGGCGTAACTCTCTCATACCCCCTGAGATTTCAAAGCTCGATTACAGCATTTGGTCTGACGCCTGCCACGCCTGACGAAGCAACCGTTAGAATATACAGTGGCTCACATTAATATTCGGACAGCCACAAACACTGAAGGCGTTTCTTGTTTCATTGTAATTTTTCGCACGTGCGCGGAAGTTACATGTGAGGAAATGCAATGGAACTGTGACTTTATTAATAGGAAACAGAATAATACAAAGGAAACGTTTCTGATGCACAACATACGTTTCATTAACACGGATTTGTGTGTGAATATGCAAAAATACGAAGTCACATTAATATTAGGACACGTAATGCAAAATGTCCTCTTGCCCCCTCGTCACTCTTCTAGTTAGCGCCATAAGTGCACCATCCTCTCCCCAAAACAAACAATTATGCTGTCAGTCGCTCGTTGTAAATATTTCCACCGGGAAACACCTCTTGTCATGAGGCGCAAGGGAAATAATTCGACGTTTGAGCAGAGGCAACTTCTGGTTTTCCACCACGCAATGGGACGCTCCTGCGGGGAGATCATAAATCTTTTACTCATGCGCAAGAGCACGGTGCATGATAGCATTAAAAGATTTGAGAAAGAAGACAGAATTGAACCTAAACCGCGTTAAGGACAACGTAAGAAGATCTGCGAAAGAGAGCAGCGTGAAATTTTGAGGAAAGTAGGAGAAAATCCAAAGGTGAGTGCCGTCCAGCTGGCAGCACAACTGTGTGTATCCTAAGGAGGCATCTGTGCACCTCGAAACAGTGCGCAGAGTAATTAGGAATGCTGGCTATCACGGCGGAGCGGCCAGGAAGAAACCCTTAACGGTGCCTGGAATAGAGCTAAACGACTTTAGTTTGCAATGGAATACGTGACGAAATCCGTGGAGTGGTGGCGTGAGGTAATTTTTGTAAATGAGAAAAAGATTAATATTTTTTGGCAGTGACGATAGGAAAATTATATGGCGATAACCAAATACAGAATTGCATTCTAAAAACGTAGTGTCAAATGTGAAACACGGAGGTGGACATATATTGGTGTGGGGCTACATATCAGCTGCTCACGTGGGGGAGATTGTGTTTATTAAAGACACAATGGACAAATATCAGTATCTCAACATGCTGAAAGAGAATTCACAAAAATCTGCTGACACACTAGGCATCAGGAACTCGTTTAAATTTTATCAAGACAACGACCCGAAACACACATAATATTTAGTGAGCGAATGATTGTTTTACAATTGTTAATTAGTACTGGAAACGCCGCCTCAGCCTACTGATTTCAATCCCATCGAGGATTTATGGCGTGAATTGGAATGTACAGTCAGGTGAATCTCAATTACGTCAAAGTCCCATCCGCAAGCGAGAATCCAGGAAGAACAGGCGCAAATTGGACAGCAGTACCTGAAGAGGATTCTTGGTTCAATGCCAAAGCGATTGCAGCAAGTCATAGACTACAATGGTTATGGTACAAAGTATTAATTTCCTTTTCGTTTATTTATTAATTTATATTATATTTCAATTCGCGTGTCCGAATATTACTGTGGCTAATGAATCCAGACAATTTTATTTTGTTTTCTTTTTTATCGAAAGCGTCAACTACATTCTGCATTTTTGTTCTGTTTATACTGTTATCCGTTAATAAAGAAACAATTCAGTTTCACTTTCTTGCATATATTTTTTTCCTACATTCGTCATAATATCGCAGAATTTACCATTTCTGGAGTATATCTGGGTGTTCGAATATTAAAGTGAGCCACTGTGTATACGCACATATACAGTGCCTGATTTGTAAAATTTTAGATTCCGGAACGAGCTCAAAATTGATGATTAATTTAATAGAAATAGTTGAATATGTATATTATAATCTAATATTCCCGAGGTACCGGAATGCAGTTCCGTCGCCAGAAGTGAAGCTCAATATACAGACACAGTATATTTCAGCCTTCTCATGTTTGGTTTCATCACTAAATCAAAAATAGGCTTTAAGAAACACCTTATGTTTTTTTGTTTGTTTTGTTTTCAGACTGTGCCGTTCTTTGGAATAGCTGCAGGAACAGCAACTGCAATAGCTGCCACTGCTCGATTTGCAAATTTGGGAGTGCAAATTTCTCAAGCAGGGAGAGTGGCAATTAATGTCACCAATGGTGTCAATTGTGTAGCTCATGGCGTATGTTTTGCTAATGATGTATATAATATTATTGAAACATCAATCAATGGCGATCAAGTTTCTCTGATTCAGATATTTCAATGTGTTGCCTCACTTCTTTTATTTACAAATGCTGTAGTAAGCACTTATCAAGCAAGACTAATTTTGCAGTCTTTAAGTTCCAAAGAGACTGCTGGAGGAATAGAAAATCTGTATGCTAAGATTTCACAGTCAAAAATGACAGAAAATGGCGTTTTAGTGCGTCCTACAAACATCCTGACACATGGTACTGTTTCAGGTTTTATTTCTATAGCAATTCCTTGGGGTGGAATGATGCTGAAAATTCCTTCTGATATGTGTCAATCTATAGAAAAAATATTCCAGTTTTTGTTAGCTAATCGAAATGCAGAGTTTACAATAATTGTTAGTGGTCTATTACCATTACTAAAAGCATTGTGGGAAAAGTTACAGCAGCAGTCTAAGAAACATGCGTATGAACGTGAATGGTTATCAGACTTGTCTGGCTTATGCAATACATCTAAAACTGCTTTTAAAAGAACAGAAACAGTGAAAGAAGAAACTGAAAAAATTACTATTGTAAACATGAATTTTAGTGGAGAAAGAGAACAATTTCAAGAAATAATTCAAGAAATGCTTGAAAAGGAAGATATATCAGAATTAGAAGTGTTACAGTATTCTCAACTTCTCTTTCAGAGGCTTAAAGAAGAAACAGAAGAAAAAGAAAAAGAGTTTCAAACTATGTTAAAAAAAAGTAAAATGGATGAGAAAGAATTGGAAAAAATATTTGGAGTAACAGGTGAAAGGGCTCAACATTTTGCAAATGTGATAATGAAATCTTATAGAGATTTAAAGATAATAGCACTAAAACAGGATTGCCGGAGACTGATCGAGAAAAAAGGAATACAGATACCCTTGTATTCTTCTTGTGGGTCTTCCGTCAGTATACTTTATTTTCATAGTATTCAGAAGCATGGTTCGAGAGAAGAAAAGTACCTTAAAATTCTTGAGAAAGCAGGTATTAAAACTACATCCAAAATACAATTCCCTTCTGAGAATTCCTATTTTATTGAATTGAAAGATCCCACGTCAGAATACAAAATGGCTGGGGTTGTGAATTTTGAAAAAAGGGATTTTGATATGATGGGTATTATAATACTGGTGAAAAAATCTTAAAACACCCTTTAGATGAGATCTTTCATATGGAATCTTAAAGGTACTGATTTTACTGTAGCTACAACTAATTCAAATCAAATACGTATATTCTGTTTTTAATATTTTAGTACTTTATATTTCTAGTAGACTTATTGTATTTACGAATTTCATCATATAATTTAAAAAAATATCAAATCTTTATATCCTGAAACATAGCTGTCACAATGTAGTTCTGAATATAGTTAGAAAGTATACTAATTGTAGTGTATTTTATTAATTGCTTAAGATGAAATTGCAAGCTCATAGAAATGACAGTACCTTCACATATGTTTTAACAAAATGAGAACTTGAAATTAGTGAAGCTTAATTTAAATGGATTCACACAAGCAGAAGTACAGAAAAAACTTTATACCTTACATTTTTTTGTTTATCACAACTTGTAATTGGAATTCGGACTCTAATCTCAATAAGTTCAAATATACAAATGTGATTCTGCTTTTAGTCTCAAGTGCAAGAATTTGAGGTTCTGTTGAATTGGTAATTAATATTTGTTGTGCATACAAGTGTTTGCCACGACTTACTAATATTAATTATTCATGATTGTTTATAGAAAAAAGTAGATTTTTTGAAGAATGAATAAAGATGAGATGCATAATGGTTGCTTTTCAATTTCAAGTATTAGCCTAATATTTACTGTTTTTACAAATTTTATTGTTACTCTCAGTGAAATAAGAAAAGAAGACAGTGTTTTATTTTATATATTTGTAAGCAAGTCTCTTTCTTGTGATAATAAGGGAACAGAATTTATTGTAATAAAATGCAAAATAAATACATATCTGTGGCTTGGTGCAAGAACAAATGTGACATTTGCCCTTCTTGCAGCAAGCTACAGATATGTATTTTTACCAAAATATGTAAGAGAAAATAGAAAATATATTAAAAATTTGAAAAGATTGAATTCTTATTTCAGATTCACCATTTAATATTATTATTGTTGCTTTAGCCACAATATCTTTGAGCGTGCTTTTGTAGATCAGCTGAAAAACAAAAGCACTGGTACGATGATATTAGGTTTCAGGCTGGACTCAGGATTCAAAGGATCGGCGAAGTGATTGATTTGTAAATGGAGGTAAGCTAATGCTAAACTTAACATAAAAATTACAGATGTCATTCTGACACGAGGCGGGTACAGAGAAGTATGGTTAGTGAATGACGGGCAACAACTTCCCTTAGGGGTTTTTTTTTTTTTTTTGTTTTTTTTTTTTTTTTTTTTTTTTTTTTTTGAGTCTGAATATTTTTTTACGTCCGGTTTACATGAAATTACGTGCGCGCGGTCTTCGTGGAAATAAGGCCTTGGAGTGGAATGATATCGGTAAGACAATTGTTTATAATAAAATTACAAAAAATTGATTGAGGTGGAGCATTGTCTCCATGCCCCCATCCCCGCTTCAAAGAATTCAACGGAAATGAGACCTGCATCATTCTTTTGAGGGTACCTTATTCTATCTATAGTTAAAAAAATGAAACAACTTGGATCGGTTTTTGAGAGAAAAATTAAAATTGTATGTATTTCGCGCAAAATTACACGAAAACTACTCATATTTTCGAAAATATTGAACGTTGCCTTATTTCAAGATGCCTATAAAAATTGATTTCATTACGAAAAAATGAGTTACAGCAAGATTCCCTTAAAATTTCACTTCGGAAATTTTCTAGAAATCTGAGATTTCAATGAACATGAGACTTGCACCATTCTCTTTAATCCTTTACGCTAAAGCTTAATCAAAAAAATTGTGTCAGTTTTGAAAACAATTTCAAAACGTTCTTGAGGCATCATGTAAAGTACCCTCAAAAATCAAAATATCCAGTTGAAACTCCCAAAACCTCATGTTCCTTCAGATCGATCGGAGAATATCAATATTGGAGATAATCGGCTGAACGGTTTAGGCGCTATGTTCACCAGAGACGAACGGACAGACATTTTGGTGTCAATCGATTTTTTGGTATCAAGGACCCGCAAAACATTGATTCTGGCTACACTACATCTTAGAGGAAGTAATTTACTGTATATAGGAACAGGATTTAACCACTTTTTCGTTATTAGGGCCTTGCAACAAAAGTATTTCAGCAGAAAATTCGCCGTCCTTCGGCGCACGATTACATAAGACATCCATAAAAACAATAGCGTTGAACACTGGGTTGCTTGAACATCGTGACTTCGCTTGACGATAGTTATCGTCTCTAAAACAACAAGAAGTGCGTAAAAGTAGTCATATAGTGGACACAAATCCTGTCAAATTTTGTGGTGCATTCGAGTTTGAGTTGCGAGGGCACGACGAAAGCGAACAATCGGAAAGCCCTGTTATGGGTAAAAGTAAACAAGGTAAGGGACTGTCCATAAATTACGTAACGCAAATTTGGAGTATTTAGAATACCTCCCTCTCTCCTCTATAACGCGCCCACAAAGTGCAATTCAACCCCCCTAAATAATTAAGTAATGCTTGCAACTCGTCCTGTAAACGCAAAAAGTGAAAATCAATTATAGTTCAGCCAAAAAATATATTCATAATATTTGTTTGCATTAAAATGTATGATAATTAGTTTGAATTAGTTGTCGATGCTGAGTGCATCTTACAAAACGATTGGGGGCAGATATTGCGTGACTGAAGGACGTACAGGCGAGAAAATTTATGTTCGTTAGTTTTGCACACGCCGTTGTGGATGCCGCATGGGCCGTACTGCCAAATTAATTGTACTCTACAAAACACTACTGATCAGTTTTAAATAGTTCTACGTAATCTTACAGATTCAATACAAAGTTGATGAAAAAATATTTATATTTCTTGTAACTTCTAATAAATATAAATTATTTGTTTTAAAACTAATTAGATGATAAGCTTAAACTAGTGCTACAGAATTGCACAGACTTTCACGAATTAGTTTTCTTTTCCTTTGGTGTCGGCTAGCTATTCGGACTTTCCACGTACTCTTACTCTTGCCAGCTTGCCTATCACCTCCTCAATTTCTCGTTTTCCTAGTACAACGGAAATATTATTTCTCACCCTAAATCGCAATTATCTTCGAAAAATAAGAAGCCGTTTTTATGAAAAAGGCGTTTTAGCGCTACTCTAAGTTCGAAATGTGAAGCTCTTTTTTCACAGAATTTTTGATTTTAAAAAAACTCGAGATGAAGTCATTTCAAACACTAACAAATACAGGATTGTTTACAAATTTGTGGAAATGTGCATATTAACAGCGTGAGAGATCTTCCAAAAAAAATCACAAAGGTCATTTTTGAAAAAAATACCCAAAATGAACTTAATGCCATATTAAACATGCAATTAGCACTATCCGTTCGAAAAGTTTGAAGAAAAAAATTGGAGCAGTTTTTCAGAAAATGGAGTTTGAGCGTTTCTGAAAATGTGGAATTTTGAGCTAGTTTTCACAGAAAAATGTTGAGTTTTCTAGAAACTTTATGACATTATTTAAAGCATGACTTATAAATAAAATAATTACTGCTTGCACTTGTATATAAATCTTCACTGAAGCTATCAAAGTACCAGGTATACAAAAAACTAACCGGCTAAATTCAGAAATTTCTTCACGCGTTCCTACACAAGACACCCGCTGATTTAATATTAATTTGTTGAAATTAATTACTCTGGCCAGTTTTTAATATCGGTCAACGTCTTGCACCTACATCGCATTTCACCCACAAAATCGTCTTTCTCATTTTTATTTTTCCTGCGCTTTTAACGTTTTTTTTCGGTGGAGGGTCCCCCGCTTGATCTGAAACTGCGGTTACATCAATAACATATTCAACAGTTTGAATTACGCATCTGAATTTGTTTTGAAAAAAAAGTCATTTTTCTTTGCTGTTAGTGCATTTTAAGAGTATTTTATTGATTTTTGGCGATGTTTTAGGTCATCAAAAACCGCCCTCTAATAACTAAGGGGCGGATTTTTATGACCTAAAACATCGCCAAAAATGATCAATTAAATGCTTTAAAAAATGCCCTAAAAACAAAGAAAAATGTAATCAAAATCACTTCAGATGAACAACTCAAGCTGTTGGATATGTTATTGATGTAATCGAAGCTTCTTACTGTTCAAGTGAACTCAGCCTGCGAACTCTGGGTTTGGACTGTTCTTTAAAAGAAAATCTCTGCCTTTACTTATCGCGAAATCGGCCGATCCCACAATGGCGCCGATAAACGTTACAGGAACCTTATATTACATAGTATTCAAAATGGCTGACATAATATGTGAGCGAAGAAATCGAATAGGCTACTCAGGAATTCTGTGATGAACATTTTTTGCACCTCGTAAATATTGTTTGAAGCAAGTATTATTAAAATTATATAAAAATCGACAAAATCAGCGAAAGTGCAGTAAACATTACGTAATAGGTAAAAAATTACTTATTCAAAATCAACGAAAAATTAAAAAGTGACATTTCGTTTCATCATAACATGAATTTCTATACTAATCGGCATTGTTCTAAAGTGAAAAGAAAAAAATGCCATTTCATTAAAAACCGCCTTATAATTACTATATTTCTCCATACTAGGGATACTATATAAATGCCCGACTGTGAGTCGAGTGTGTTCAGTACATTAAGATACCTTTTTTATTCAAAATGTTTTGGTCGTATGTGTTATAATATAGATTATGTAATATGTCATAATGAAAAAGTGAATAAAATCCAGTTTATAAATTTAGGGAAAAAAACTAACACGTGGTGAAGCCAGAATCTCTGTTTTCCGAGTCCTTGAAAGCGAAAAGTCGAATGACGGCAAAACGTCTGTGTCTGTGAACAACGCTAACGGTTAAACCGTTCTGACGATTTTCTCCAAAATTGATCTTCCCCAATTGATCTGGCTGACGTCACGGCCCCTGGAATTGGAAACAAGCTCTATCGTCTTTTATTACTTTTTTGTTAGTGTGAAGGACGTTTAAGAGAACGGTGCAAGTCTCATGTTCGTTGAAAACCCTAATTTTTCGAAAATTGCAAAAGTTGAAAAGTTCTTCGGAGTTTTCCTACAACTAAAATATTAAAGATGGAGATTTTTCGCTTAATAAAATCTGTTCCTTAAAGATAGATTTTGAAATAAGGTCATGGATAATTTTTCCAAAATTTGAATAAATTTCGTCTAATTTTGCGTAAAAATATGGGGCAAGAAATACGTGCTGTCTTAGCGCCATCAGTTAATCAAAAGGTTTTTGGAACGGAAAGAAGGATTTTTTCGTATCATTCTTTATTTTTAATAATTGTGAACGTTAATCTATCTGGAAGCACCGCTTCCATAAGCGATCCGACAACGCTGACGGTAGCCAGGTTCTTTAACCCCAATCCCCAACACGCTGAGCGCTCGCACCAGGAGTGGTGGCTCATGGCATTAAATGATTGATTGATTGAATTTGCCTTATTTTACGTGGCGAGACTCGGGCCATCAAGCCCGCTCTTCCGTCTGACCACGC